GCCGCGGGCTCCGGCCGCGGCCACACAAAAAAGCTGCCACCGAGCCCTCCTCCGGCCCCGGCGCGGCGGCCCCCGGGCCGGCGAGGACGCGGGGGAGACGGCGGCCGAGGACCCGGGCGCGGGGAAGAAAGAGCAGAAAGAAGAGGGGGAAGGGGCGGAGAGAGAGGGAGGAGGGCCGGGAGCGGGGCGAGCGGCGGAGCGCCCGAGCGCGGTGCTCCCCGAGCGTGGTGCTCCCCGAGCGTGGTGCTCCCCGCGGCCGCGAGCCGAGATCCGGCGAGCGGCGCCCAGCAAAGTAATGGCTGAACGCACCGGTCTCCTCCGGGGGAGAGCAAAAAAAAAAAATAAATCCCGAGCAGGCAATAAATCAGGATAGCGGAATGCTTTGATCAGGAGACGGGGAGGCGGCGGGGAGCCCTCCCCGCGGCCAGTCGCCGCCGCGCCCCCCAAAAAGCAACGCCGGGCCCCCCGAAGGCAGAATCGGGTCCAAAAAGAAAAAAAAAAGGTCGCGGGAAAAGTGGGGGGACGGAACTTCCCCCGCCCCTCGGGAGGCAGGCACCCCCGGCGCCTCGCGCACACACCTCAGAGCAAACTCCCGGGCTCGGGCACGGGCGACGGAGGCAGCCCGCCGAGGCCGCCGCTCGGGAGCGAGGGGACCCGGGCCAGACCCCCCGGCGACGGACGCATAATAATGCGAGAATTAGGAGGGGACGGCGGCGAAAGTGGCCGGGCCGGCGGAGACGGGAGGCGGCGGCAGGGGAGGAGGATGCTGGAGCAGTTGTGGGCTTCGCTCTTCGGTCCTCGAGGGGGGAGGAGGGGGCGATGAAAAGAAGCAAATCCCGACGCTGCCGCCCCCCCTCTGAAAATCCGTGCTCCGGTCCCGGGGAAGAGGTCACCCTTCCTCGGAGACAGGAGGGGGCGAGCCAGGCGATGAGCAAAGCAGAAAGAAATCTCCAGCGGGGAAGAGACGCCGGTGTGCCGCCGCCGTCGCCGCTGCCTCTCCTCCTCCTCCTGCTCACACCGCCGGAGGGAAAACGCCGCTCTCGCCGCCGCTAAGGCTGCCGCCGCCGCTGCCACGACAGCTCCGAGCCGGACGGTGCACGGCGTGTCCCCGGGCGGCTGCAGCGGGAGCCCGGGCACGGCCCCAT